ATACACAGTAAAAGTACTTCAATGTATTGTTAGTAGCAGGCAAACTAATACCGAGTCCAACAGTGTCAGTTTTATTAAGAACTTGTGGTAAAAAATATTTGTAAAAAAAAAATGAAGAGCAGCTGATTTGAAAAAACAACGTGGAGAGACGGCTGAGTGACCGCAGTGCAGAATCGCTGTATAGTTTAAATCTCCTAACAATGTTGTCCATTTTAGACATAGACTTATTATATTTACAGCCCTTAATAACATTCATTTTCTGGGCTCAATGTGTGTCTTGGCCGTTTTCGTTGTGATCGCTAAATTCACCTTGTTTCCCCTTGTTTATAATATTATCAACGTTCCAAGCAAACGAGTGCTTTTGTTTTGAAATCACTTCCGCGAGTTTCGCGGCCCCCCCTCCCCCTCCCCCTCCCCCCTCCCCCCTCGCTACAATGACCATTAGACCATTTAGTAAGGTAAAAAACAAAAAGCAAAAACGCCTCGCAGACACTCTTCCGTTTACTTGTTTAATAAAGAAAAACAAATGGTCCGTAGATACACGGATTAATCTCCCTCCATCATGTTGATTTGAATCAGAAGTTCTGAACATGAGCCCGCCCCGCTCGACCTTCTGAGCCAATCACAGCGCGATAATGACCTGCCTTCCATTTCAACCATACTCCTTCCGTTTCCACTATACTTTCTCTCACACATACATGTATTCTTCTCTTGCATACATATATTGTCTTCATACATGCATATATTATTTATAATATTAAATGTAAACATTGAATGAATGTGCATGAGAGCAAAATGTATAAATATGAGCATTAAAATATATGAATATGAGAACAAAATGTAAAAATGTGTGAGTGACAATGTATGAATGTGTGCATTGAAATATGATAATATGAGAGCAGAATGTATGAATGTGTGAGTGTAAATATATATGTGTGTGAGAGTGAAAATGTATGTATGTAAAAGGAGAATGTATGTGCGTGAGAGGACCAGTATGAATTACGGCCTGTACGGCCACACACACACACACACACACACACACACACACACACACACACACACACACACACACACACACACACACACACACACACAGAAAGAGAGAGAAAACACACACACACACACACACACACACACACACACACACACACACACACACACACACACACACACACACACACACACAGACTTAACATCACTTGTAGACTTGAACACTCTTTCTATGCAGAATTCTCTCCAGACAGAACACCCTAAGAAATGAGTGTTCTTCAGAGGAAGCACCACAGTGTGTCGCACACAGAGTCTTGTCCTGTCAGTGAGGTGTGTGGCATGTGGGGCAGAAGTTACAGTGTTTCTGTGGTTCTGGGTGCAGGGCTTCATTCTGCACGATTATATATGAGGTGACCTTTGGGTCTGTGCTTTGAGAATTGTGTTTAGTGTTTTGAGAAAATGAGCCCTGTTGTTAAAACATGTGTTTTAGCAATTGATAAAAACTGTAATATAGAGTCAATGTGACGTGTTGTTGCCTTTAGCTGAAGTCTCAGGGAACCTTGTTTTGGACCAATCTCCCCCGGTGTGTGAAGGCCTCTACAGAGAGTCTCTGTCACATGATCAGGGTTCTCTGTCACATGATCAGGGTTCTCTGTCGGCCAGGTCTTCAGTTTGCTCAGTGGTTCAGTTCTATAGAAGCAGAAAGAGTTAGAGGACATTCTGAGTCTCTGTCCCTGCCTGTGTTGAACGCGTCCATTAAGATGATGTTAAAGTTTATATAATACTGTTCTTTAACTTCTCTGACCTGCTTTTCTGAGGAACTGATGACGAAGATGCTGATGGTTTACAGATTACAGAAACTGTTGGTTTCCTGTTTCCATGACACCAGGCTGTCCTATCAGATGCTGTCAGAGTAGATTCAACTTTAACACGAAGAAGAGCTGGACTCAAAATATATCATCTTTAAACTCAGGGTTCATACGAGTTCATGTTGAAGATCACTCCGTACATTTAGATTCTGAAATGTGCCATCATGAAAAATCTGTATTTTTTACTTCTAATAGGTTTAAGTATGGGGGTGTACGGCCTCTACTAACACACACACACACACCACACACACACACACACACACACACACACACACACAACACACACACCACACACACACACACACACACACACACACACACACACACCCACACACACACACACACACACACACACACACACACACACACAGAAAGAGAGAGAGAGACACACACAGAAAGAGACACACACACAGAAAGAGACACACACACACACATAGAAAGAGACACACACAGAAAGAGACACACACACACACACACACACACACAGAAAGAGACACACACACACACAGAAAGAGACACACACACACACAGAAAGACACACACACACACATTGAAAGAGAGAGACACACACACAGAGAGAGAGACACACACACACACACACACACACACACACACAACACACACACACACACACACACCACACACACACACACACACACACACACACACACACACACACACACACACACACACACACACACACACACTTGGCTTAGTCTTTCTATCTTTATAGCCAGTGGTGTAAAGTAAGTTCATAAACTCAAGTACTATACTTGGGTACAATTTTGAGATACTTAATAATAAATAAATAAATAATTAATTTAATTTATATAGCGCTTCTCATCTGCCAAGACAAATCTCGAAGCGCTTCACAGCAAAGGACACTGATACAATTTGAGAGATTAAACAAATAATAATAATACAAATTAAAAATTAAAACAAAATAAAATATAAAATAAAATAAAATAAAAGTCGGAGATAGCGATAAAATGGCAATACTCCAGGTGTACCATGCTCAAAGTTTATTGGAAGGCCTGCCGAAAGAAGAGGGTCTTAAGGCCGTCTTACTTGTACTTTATTTAAGTATTTCAATGTTTTGCTACTTTGTTCTTCTTCTCCTCTACAGTTCAGAGGTACATGGTGTACTTTTACTCCACTACAGTTCAGAGGTACATGGTGTACTTTTACTCCACTACAGTTCAGAGGTACATGGTGTACTTCTACTCCACTACATGTATTTAATAGCTTTAGTTACTTCACAGATGTGGATGAATGATGTGAAATATAATCAAGTGTTAAATCAGACTTTAGTTCCACCTGGAGTAAATCCACAAGCTACACTGCAGTATACAAAGTCATTCAAACTAGCTGCACCTTTACAGCTTTGAGAACACTTTCATGATCAATCATTATAAAACATATCATTTATATTATTCTGAAATGGACCAATCTGCACAATGACTACTTTTACTGTCGCTACTTTCACTATATTTTGATGAGAATACTTTTATACTTTCACTTGAGGAACATTTTGAATGCAGGACTTTCACTGTAACAGAGTATTCCTACACTCTGGGTACTTCTACTTTTACTGAAGTACAAGATCTGAGTACTTCTACTTTTACTCAAGTACAAGATCTGAGTACTTCTACTCAAGTACAATATCTGAGTACTTCTACTTTTACTCAAGTACAAGATCCGAGTACTTTTACTCAAGTACAATATCTGAGTACTTCTACTTTTACTCAAGTACAAGATCTGAGTACTTTTACTCAAGTACAACATCTGAGTACTTCTACACCTCTGCTGTTTACTGAAAGACTTCTTTCTAAGAAACTTATGGTAAAAACAGAGAAGTTTGACTCAGAAGGACTTCAGTGAGGGACAGCTCCTGCAACCAGTTTGTAAACAGTATTACAAATGTACCAATTGCCAAAATAAATTTAAAAAAGAGTGTGTTTAACTTTGACTTCACTATATTTTGATGAGAATACTTTTATACTTTCACTTGAGGAACATTTTGAATGCAGGACTTTCACTGTAACAGAGTATTCCTACACTCTGGTACTTCTACTTTTACTGAAGTACAAGATCTGAGTACTTCTACTTTTACTCAAGTACAAGATCTGAGTACTTCTCCTTTTACTCAAGTACAAGATCTGAGTACTTCTACTTTTCCTCAAGTACAAGATTTGAGTACTTCTACTTGTACTCAAGTACAAGATCTGAGTACTTCTCCTTTTACTCAAGTACAAGATTTGAGTACTTCTACTTGTACTCAAGTACAAGATCTGAGTACTTCTACTTTTCCTCAAGTACAACATCTGAGTACTTCTACACCTCTGCTGTTTACTGAAAGACTTCTTTCTAAGAAACTTATGGTAAAAACAGAGAAGTTTGACTCAGAAGGACTTCAGTGAGGGACCAGCTCCTGCAAACCAGTTTGTAAACAGTATTACAAATGTACCAATTACCAAAATAAATTTAAAAAAAGAGTGTGTTTAACTTTTAAACACAAGAACTCAAATATAAGTCTATTTAAATAAAGCTCATTTTAAAAGGCAAAGTTCATACATGACCAAAACATAAAACAAGTATGTATTTCAAAGCAAAGGGAATAAAACAGGGTATAACTATCAATGTAATTAACAATAGATACACTATAAAACGAGAAGACAGATTCCATATAAAAGCTTGTTTTATGTCAAATAAATGAGCATTAAGATATACCTTCAATAAAAATGAATATATTGTGGATGATAGGAACTCACAGTGCTCTATACTGCATTATCACGTTCAGTTGCACTCAATACAAAGCTTAATTTTTAACCCTTAAGTGCCTCTAAACATCTGACAGTGCTGAACTCCAACAGACTTTGGAGCCGCACTCATTTGAATAGAAAGGAAACAACGCACAGGTAATAATTAACAGTAATGAAGGGGAAACACTTCAAAAACACACCACACACTATCACAAATAAAACACACATTATATTAGATTAGTGGTTCAATTAGAGGTTAAAATAAACTCCCATTCTCCACCACTATCCAAACAGTAGGATTAAATATCAACCTTTAAATCGGATTACAGCTGCGGCACACAGTGAGTAAATAATACAGAATATAAATGAAAGAACATACCCAGGATGAGACATGTTATGTCGAGCAGCACGAAGGGGATTCCTCTCGCCTCGAACATTTTGGGTCCTTCTCAGGTCGACTATTTTCATTTCCTCGGTCCTCGGTCCTCGGTATCACCGGAAGTTGTCTGCGCCATCTTGAGTAGCGTCCCATGGCTCTTATTTCTGCCGGAGGACCGAGGAGCGAGGAGCGAGGAGCGATAATGGAGGAGCGATAACCGAGGAACCACCAGACCATCCTCCGGGGAAATCCTCAGATACTCTCCCCGCCCCCTTACTGTGTATCACTCACTGATTGGACGATGCAGCGCATGCACTGATCTGATGCTTCTTGACATGAGAGCAGAGTTTCCCAGCGGAGTGAAGAAAACACATGAAACTCACGGGACTCACTCCTCAGTTTATACCGTGTTTTGTTTCAATGAATGCATCATTTAGTTACAAACATGTGATATATCTGAACAACAAAGTGGACAAAAATTATTTTATTCATTTATTGGTAACATTTTCATGATCGCTTTTTCGTTTTACATTTTCATTCATTGTCATTTCCATTCAGTCAGTCATTAAGTGCTATTTAAAATGTTAATTTGCTACATATCCACACAAACAAAGTGTGCACTAATCAATATTAATCCAACTATTGTTCGTTTATACATTTTAAGAATGGCGTTTATCTTTTTTGAGAATGAGTTCTTATTTTATTTAATGTATTTGGGTCTACAACAGATGATACAAATGTTTGTGTCAGTAAATGTGTACTAACAGAGGCGGGGGTGTTTGTGAAAATAACGGGGACAGAGCTGCTGTCAGACGAACAGCTGTGCAGCGTCATCACAAACGGACGTCGCTTCACGTGACGCTCCGAGGAAAAGGACGTCCCATTGCTCTTAAAACTCATTTCCCTGCTTCTCGTGGTTTCCTTGCGTCTCTCCATGCTTCCCTGGTGGGAGGGACTAAACACAGGGAAACGACGCAAGTGAGGGACGCAAGGAATCCATTTAACCGAAGTGAAACGCAGCCGGTGTCTGAGGGTGCACGCGGAACTAACCCGAAAAAAATCCGGTGTCGATGGAGGCTGCGCGGCCCTGGTGATGCGTTCAGGGGCCAGTGGGGAAAATTGGGTAGTATCCTGGTTTGTGAACTAATCTTTATTTAATTTTAGAATTTTGACACTATCTTATTTTCATTTTTCTTTAAACATTATTAATTATTATTATTTATTTATATGTTCATTATTTACTTCTTTTTTTTAACAGTAAATAAGGAAATATTCTTTCCAAATTATTTAAATTCATATTTGTTTTTTGTGGAGTGTCAGATAAAATAAATCCAATTGAAGCTAGAAGACAGAATTGTTCCCAGCTTAAAACTGCTTTAAAAATACAATATATTCATATTATTTTCCACTTAAACGGAGTTCATTCACTATCAGTGAGGAGGCGTGTGGCGCAGTGGATAGAGTGTTGGTGTTCGGATCACAGGTTCAAACCCCACTGCAGTCAGCATGTCGTTGTGTCCCTGAGACAATTGCTCCTGTGGGGATTGCCCACAGTATTGAGTATGTAAGTCGCTTTGGATAAAAGCGTCTAACAAGTAACATGTAATATAATCAGTCCCCATACCTACTTAATATTAATTTAGTTTAGGTATTGAATTCCCCTAATTACTAGTTAGTCTACATAATTCAATTGTTTTTAAGAATTCTTATTTATCTTTCACATTGTTTGATAGGTCAATGATTAGCAACGACGTTGATTTTGATTCGGATTTTTCCTTTTATGCAGGAAACGAGCATTTAAAAACTCAATATTACCCTATTTGTCAGAATCTTTTATACATTTTATGAAATAAACTTTACTGTAAAGACTTACCTCAGTAAATGTACACTAATTGCAGTATTTTAATATATTAATTAACAGACGTGCACACCTCAGGAACAAACAGGAAGATATAGGAACATTATTATCACAACACTGACCCCATCTAGTGGTTTGAAGGTTAAACTACACTAAGAAAACGGATATAATTCTCTATTTTGTGAAAATCAACAACAATTAGCTCCAAACCTTCATTCATTTAGAAAGAACACGTATTTAGAACCCATAAGCTGTGTTCTAAGTTAATTAAATACACTAAAACAAACACAAATACAACCGTCCTGCAAGAGATGGATATATTAAAAAGGCCCTATTATGCTTTTTAGGATGTTCCCTTTCCTTTGGTGTGTTATTTAGGTTTTAGTGCATGTAAATGGTCTGCAGAGGCTAAATTCTCTGTGATCCCCTGCCTGAAACGCATCCATTGGCCTCCTTTGTTTAAATGGTAAATGGACATATGGCCCTCTATCAACGATATCTTCTGTCTTACATCGTCCTTAAAGCTGGATAAAACACACATTAATAATAACACACATAATGCACAAATGTGTTTTTATTCAACTCGAAAATTACATTTCAAAGTCATTCAAATGAACAAAAGAGGCAGATATATTTTTAAAACATCTCCAGTTTCTGCGACTGCAAAACACGTTTAATTGACAAAAGATCAATTCTGACTTTTTAAGCCATCGTCAGCGTCGTTACCCTGCCAGTCAATAACCCTTTACCTTAATATATCCATTATGCAACCAGAAAATGTGACAAAAAGCACAAATAAGTCACTTTTTTTTTTTAATTAAACCTTTTAAAAATAAACCTATTTTACATATTTATTGGGCTTTAAAACATACGTGTGATATTTCAAAGGCTTATTGAGAGAAATGTTGATTTTACTGACAAATGCATGTTTTTAGACCCACACAGAATACTGCCTGCATCCAATAATACTCCTAATACATGGTGGCATTTACAAATAAGAACAAACATAAATAAAAAGGAATGAATAATTTATAAAAATATGTTTTACAAAGCCATTAAAGGCAAGTCCTTCATTGTTTTGAATGCAGACGTGTTGCTCATTTTCAGTCCACTAGGTGGCACTGTTTCCCTACAAGTAAAAATAAATGCAGGTTTCTTTCACACAAGGCACATAGTTCAGAGTCAGACAGAAAACAGCATGTACATGTGTTGGAGCCACAGAGGAAATTAAACATTAAATTACAGAGGTTTTCAGACAGGAAATTAACAATGTCCGACTCCAGTTGCGTCGACGAATTCCTCAAGTCTTTTTTTTTTATTCATCTGAATGTTTTTGTTGTCCTTTCAAGTGCTCCGAGTCTTTGAAAAGTAAAAAGAAAGTCTTCACATTTTACGATAAAGGAATCGTTTGACATTTTGGGAAAGATTTGCTTTCTTGTGGAGAGTTAGATGACCTAGATATGAAGCTAAAGCGAGAGTTAGTTAGCTTAGCTTAGCATAAAGACTGGAATCAGAGGGAAAACAACTAACTGTGTTTTCCACAAAGAAAACTAAATATATTTTTCTATTGCGGACTATTAACAGCAATAAATTCCCAAGCACAAAACCCCATATTTTTTACTTCGGATGTGAAATGTATGCAGCTTTTTCAGGCTAGCTGTTTCCCTTTTTTTAAGTCTTTATGCTAAGCTAAGCTAAATACTAGCTCGCTCTAGCTCTAGATTTAGCGTACAGACATCATACTAGTGTTAATCCTATCCCACTCTCAAAATGTGTGATATTTACACTTCGCTTTTACCTAGCACTGACCGCATGTTTCCTGCTTTTATGCTAAGCTAAGCTAATTACCTGCTAACTCTAGGTCTATATTTAGCATCCAGAAATTAGAATAGTGTCAATAGAAAAGAATACAAACATTTTGATTTGAAATTTGACTTCCAGTCTTTTTTGCTAAGCTATGCTAATAACCTGCTAGTAATAGGTCTAACAATAACTATAGGTACCCAGCAAACAACCACAGAAAAATAAGAAATCGTTATTTCTACACTTCAATTTGTGTGTGTAGCTTTTTGTAAGCGAGCTGGTTCCCGTTGTCTTTATGCTAAGCTAAGCTAACTCTAGCTCAATGTGTAGAGTTCGGACATTAGAGTGAATCTTATCTTACAGAGAGATGTAACATTATTTATGCTAAGCTAATGACCTGCTAACTCTAGCTCACTTTTTAGCATACAAACATAAGAGTGAACCTTATCTCATTCTCAGAAATTGTCCAACAACTATTTGCCATTTTTACCCTTTTTGTTTTCGGATTAGAGATGTAAAAGTCTTTATGCTAAGCTAATTGCATGCTAGCTGTAGCTCAATATGTAGCCTTCAGACACAAGAGAGTTATCTTATTAGCTAACTCTCAGCAAGAAGCTATATTTTCCAATATGTCAATTAACCATTCCTTTTAAAAACCTGATACCGTTCAGATCAGTTGAATTCATCTGCGTTATTTCAACGTTTTGCAGTCATTTCGGTGATCAATAATCCAGCCATTTTCTCCATCCTCATGTCTTTTTGGGGTTTTTCTGTTTACGGAGGTGCGCTTCGATCTCCTGCCTGAAGAAGAGCATCCCCAATTGGCCGTGCGACGCCTCGTTCATGGCTTTGGATTGCATGCACATGCGATATTGATCCGGCGGCAGTTCGTCGGCGCAGTGTTTCTCGTGCCACAGGTGGAAAAGCCCTCGGGACGGGGCTCGAACCACCAGAAGGTTACTGTGCAGGTACTTCCTGTACAGGTGCACGTCTTCACCCCCCCAGCCTTTGATGTCGATGTCAAAACCGCCTGCAGGGGAAAGAGCAGACGGGGAATAATGTAGAAGTTTTGTATGAGAATCAGAATTTATTTGTATTTAAAATCGGGGTTTTTGACAGTTGCTAAAATAAGATAATATCAAAGATTAATTAATTTAAAAAGAATCCATGAAATCATAAGAGTAAGAAGGTGCAATAAACTAATTTAAATAAATAAAGATATGAAGTTAAAATAAAAATGGAAAATAAAATAAAGGTATTTGTGTGAAAAGTACAGGCTAACGTAAAAGCCCAATAAAATATAATATACATTTAAATAGAATAAAATGTAATTATTCATTTATTAACATTTAATATATAACCCTAAAAGTTAAACTAAGAATAAAAAAAAAAGTTATAATAAAAGAAATTACTAATATTTATACAAACATTATATGTTAAAGTTAAGTGTCCAAATAAAATATATATAACCATGAAAAGTTGAAGTAAGAATGTTCAATAAGAAGTATAAATAAAATAAAATAAAGATATTTATGTAAACACAATACACTAAAGTAAAGGTTCTCAAATTAAATTAAATATTTTATACAAACAAAAGAAATTCAGTTAAAAATGTGCACAGTTTATAGCATGTGAATTACAACGGTGGTGATGACATGATGCAAAATAAAGAAGAAACCTAACAGGAAGTAGTGTGTTTATGACACACACACACACACACACACACACACACACACACACACACACACACACACACACACACACACACACACACACACACACACACACACACACACACACACACACACACACACACACACACACACACACACACACACACACCACACACACACACACACACACACACACACACACACACACACACACACTGGCAGGCTTTATGTGGAATTGAGGGGTTTTTCTCAGCGTTGGAAGAGCAGGTTTTTCTGAACAGTAAAAACTGATGACAGACATTTTCTCCTTCGAAGCGCAACGACTAATAAATACCAAGGAACTCTGATCCCCGTTTCTAAGGAAGAGACAAGGATTTATTTTTGTTTAAGTAAAATACAACCCCTCATATGTGTGTATATATTTATATATATTTATTTTCACTTTTTGTTTCATTCGTTTGTGTCCATATTTCATTTCCCCCCAATTTGTTTAAGCCTTTTTGTCATTTATCCACTGCTGACAGTTTTTGTGCACTTTTCTTATATCAGTCTTATGTTTTCTTATCTATTTTCACCTTATTATGATTATCATCTTACGTCACTATTATTTAAAGTGGGTTTAATCTTATATCCCATTAATTAAAACATTGTTTTTCATGTTCATTTAGTCTGTTTTCCGTTTTTGTAAAGCAGTTTTTTTTTGCAGGAAAAGCGCGAAACAAACAACGTTTATTATAATTATCATGTGAAATGGAGATTTGAGGCGTTAATAAATGCATTTCTCTGTGATTCATGTCCCCATTTCCTCTTAAAGTCGCTGATTGGTTTCCTGATTAGAGTTTACAGCCTGCGATCACAATCAGCTGCTCTGCACGGTCTGTTGTTTTATGAAGAAAGGGGGGGGGGGGGGGGGGGTTCTGGACAGATTCTGCAGAAACAGACGTCAGAAGACAAGTTCAAACCTGCATCTCTACACGTCTGAAATACTCTGCTGTTCCTCACACGTTGTTTTATTTTCATTATTCTGTCCGTCTCTCCGTCTTCATTTTTAACCCCGAGGCCAAACAGATTAAGCAGGAATTTGAGCTGAAAATGATGTGTTTATTTTTGTATGTGAATGCACTCAAAGCCTCAAAGATATGTTGCAACAGAATTTAAGGAATTTTCCATTTATTTATATATTTGTAATTGTTTAAAAAAAAAAAAAAATTAAATAAATTAAAATTAAATACTAAAATAATACATAAGAATTAGCCTTAAAAATGTAAAAAATAAATGTTTACATATTGATGTTGACATATTCAAACAAGTAGAATGTGCAATAAAATGCAATACATTTGAAAAATAATATTTAAAAACATAAATGTGCAATAAAAAGTTAAAATAAATAAATACATGAAGATATTATTTGTATTTATTTAAATAGGTTAATTGGCACAGCTGTTTCTACATAGTTACTGTACCAAACTCCTGTAAGTATGCAGCCTTAATTGAAAGTAAAAATAAATTACATTCATATGCAGGTACATATTTACATAAATTAACACATGCTCGCATATAACGCTCTGCAAGAACGTGAAGTGTGTGTGTGTGTGTGTGTGTGTGTGTGTGTGTGTGTGTGTGTGTGTGTGTGTGTGTGTGTGTGTGTGTGTGTGTGTGTGTGTGTGTGTGTGTGTGTGTGTGTGTGTGTGTGTGTGTGTGTGTGTGTGTGTGTGTGTGTGTGTGTGTGTGCGCGCATGACATAATCTCCCTCTGAATTGCACTACACTCCTTCAATTGCTGTGACTTTGGAGGGAAACTAAATTGATTGAAATGTCTTCTGAGAGCCAATCTCCCTCAACAAACACTCAGATATAGAGCAGAGCTGTGAGATATGCTAATCCAAGCAGCGGCTGCTTCTCTTCTGCAGAGTCATTTAATCAAATCTCCTCCCAGAGGCCTGTACTACGAAGCTGGTTCAACCTAACCTGGATATGTTGGAGTTAGCCGGTTGGCCTAAGCCAAAACATACGCGCTGGCGCTAAGCTGTACTACGACGCTGGTTATCAAGTGGATCGCTCAAGCCAGCCGTGTCCTATCTAGTTAGGTGCGCGTTCACATGAAAGGGGTGGTATTTGGCAGAGGTGGGAGTAAGTCCTACATGTGCAAGTCATGAGCAAGTCTCAAGTCTTGACCTACAAGTATCAAGCAAGTCCCAAGTCACTGTGGTGAGAGTCAAGCAAGTCAAGTCAAGTCATTGCTCAGGTCAAGTCAAGTCAAGTCATACGAAATTCTGATGAATAAGCCCAGTTTCCGCATTTAAATCAGTTAAAAGACAGTGGTTATGAAAATGGATTTAACCCACACTATGATCTTCATTACATACACAGTTAATCATTTGAAATCTAATTTAGACCGATGACAATCATATTAGATTAATATTAACCCTAGAACTGCAGACAATATAGCTAGGACTCAATCAGTCTGTTCAAAAAGGCAGAATTCCAGGTAAGAAAATAGTATATGGCATTTGCCATTACACATATTTAATTTAAATGTCTGTAAACACTAGAACCGCCAACAGCGTCAGCACCTACATAGATATCATTTTCAAATCATTTAATTTGTTCCTCTTCATAATTTCCTTATAAACTGAGTAGGACGATTTAAAACTCAGTTAATTGGGTTAATTTAGAAATGGCTTCAGTTTATCATCATAACAGATAAAAAAGTTCAGATTAATTTTACAATAAATCAAAGAATGATGCACTTCTACAAACAAAAACATCATAATTAAAACATTTAAACAAACTACTAAAAGTAGATGAACTACATTATTCAACAGTTTACAGTAACTTCTGATAATAACACAGGGGAAATAAACGAGGCATCTCTTTTCCTCTCTCTCTCTCTCTCTCCTGACAGCCCGTCAGTATCAGGGTTAGTACAAATGAATCCCTTGGCGGTTCTAGTGTTCATTTACCGTTTTGTCTTCTCTTTGCTTAATCGATTTGAAACCAAGTCTAACGTAGCTTAAACTTAACGTTAGCTTTCTAGCTAACACAACACATTCACGCACCTTTCTCTGTGGGTTTTTTTGTAGTGACGAATGAAGTTGGATGTATTGGTGGTCGTGTCACTGATCTTTATGCTGCAGACCCTGCATACCGCTGTTCTCTTCTTATTAGCGTCATCGACAACATAATCCTTGAATCCAAACTTCACTATTTTTGGAGTAACGCTAGCCGCTGCCATGTTAACTGACGCTCCTACCGTCTAGTGGGTTGCCAGGTTTGCGCGCACGGCGCTATAATCACCCAATCACGTTTTTCGAAAAAACTAAACGTAATATCTCACTACAAAAACAAACGCAAATATTTAATTTTAAACAGTCAAGTCCTTTCAAGTCATCTGTCTCAAGCTTAAGTCAAGTCTCAAGTCATGAATACCAAGTCCAAGTCAAGTCTTTTATCAATGTTAGTCAAGCAAGTCTCAAGTCAAAAAATATGCGACTCGAGTCTGACTCGAGTCAAGTCATGTGACTCGAGTCCCCACCTCTGGTATCTGGAGCATTCGACCAATCTCAAACACGGACAAGCGTACTGACAGCGCAGCGTCATACTTCCTGAATGAAAAGTGAACTTTAATATTAGTCAAATATGAAGAAGTTAAACTTTAAACATCCATGACTTAAACACTTTACCCAGGATAAAAGCCACATAGCTGCACCTGCAAGGTGAATACAGCTGGTAAAAGAAAAAGTGTTTGAATGCGTACATTAACAGGTTTATGAAATCACTGCCCCCGTCCAAGACACGATCTGACTTTAATTAGGAGAATTTGACTCGAGTGTTTCGTCAACTTAATGTGTTGCTTAAAATAATACTTCTGCATACAGTATGTGACACTGTGAGTGTTGCACGGCCAGATACGGCTCAAGAAGCTGACTCAGATAAGGAAATATATGATACATTATGATGTGATATGATATGAATGATAATGGGACACATCGACGTCTGCACTCACAGTGCCGCGGACTGTACTTAATGTTACTCTGATCCGGTTACTTATGTCGTGGCAGATATTTAAGTAAGCTTTCTTAACGCTAATATTATAATAGTCAGATTGCTCTGAAGATGGGAGGGGATATTCTATTAATTTTCACGTTCACACAGTCAGTTGATTTTCGTCTTTCCTGCAACGGCAGTTTTTCTGTATTTCCTCTATCCTGTAATATGAATTGATCGCTTTAAACTCCGCACACGGAGCTCTGATTGGTCAGCAGGCGGTGCTTTCACTGAGTTGATCTCTTAGCCTGCCACCTAACCTGCTCCGGAGCAGGTTAGCCGCTCAGCATAAGTTACAATGGAAATCTAGCCCGCTAAAAAGAGAACCAGCGTCGTAGGACCGGAAAGCCCGAGATTTCCCTGAAGTTAGCCGGCTAAGCGAAAATCCAGCTTCGTAGTACAGGCCTCAGGTGAGAGAAGTAAAGCAATATTGAGCCATTTGTGTTGTCATCCATTAAGCTCTCTGCCACTATTAGCTCAGCAGAGGAAGTCTCAGAGTCTCACTGTTTATGAATTCCTGCACGCTAAGACGTTGCAAATATTTACCGATGTTGATGAAGTCGGATCTGTACTGGCAAGTCATCCCGAATCCAAAATCCCTCCAGAAGCCGGTGTCTTTCTTTATCGCCTGCACAGAAGAGAAGGGTTAGAAAGCAGAACAGAAATACGACTGTGTGTGTGTGTGTGTGTGTGTGTGTGTGTGTGTGTGTGTGTGTGTGTGTGTGTGTGTGTGTGTGTGTGTGTGTGTGCGTGTGCGTGTGTCCTCGCATTACTATCCTTGTGGGGACCTAAATCTGTTTACACAGTCACATGTGGGGACTCGCCTCCCTCATGGGGACATAATGGAGGTCCCCATGAGGGGAATCATTAATTTTAGGGTGAAGACTTGGTTAGGGTTAAGGTTAGGATAAGTCTCCAGGAAATGCATGTAAGTCAATGTAATGTCCCCTGAAGTGATGTCTACATCAGTGGTTCTCAACTGGTGGGTCGCGACCCAAAAGTGGGTCGCGGACCCGTTTCAAGTGGGTCGCGGATGTGTGAGTGAAGGAAAAAAAAGTTGAAAAAGAAATTGGAATTTTTTTTTTTTTTTTTGGGAAAAAATGCAAACTTTTATTTTTGAAGGACCGATTTTCTAACGCTGTGCATTCAGTAGGCGTTGGACTGGAAGTACCGGAGACCATAAATGGTTTTGAAAACTTCTCAATAAAACATCTCTGCTGATGTTTTTTCGAGTCTTCTGGCCAATCAGAATCAAGATTGTTGCCGGAAGTCCCCACGGAGAATAACTGAGGTAGAACTACTCTTTATACATCCATGGGTACAACTTCAGATACAAATGAACACATAATAAAATATGACCCCCGGTTTGATGATTGACAGGTCACAGAACAATGGGAGCTATCTACCCTTACCCACAATTTAAAGTAAATCACACAGACTATCTCCTCTTCTCGCAGCAAGATGTCAGAACTAAGTGAAAAACAAACAATGGCATAAAATATTATTAATATGTCGGGTAGTAATAGATTTATTTATTTTCTTCTCAGAGTGTACCAGAATGCGTAGTTTATGTTAGTATTTCTAAAAATCTCCTGGGGGAGAATCCCCCCAGACCCCCCTGCTGGGGTTGGGTTTTCAGCATGTGTGCCTTTTTATATAGTTCAGCTTTGATTCCATCATCTCATTAAACCTTTTTTAAAAGCATACTTTAGTTCTGTGAAGGGATATATGCACTGTACTTCACTTTTATTAATATTGTATTCTGAAAAGCGTATATATTACAGCACGATTTTTTGTTGAATAGATTCGAGTGCTTCAAAATGTTGGGTCACGATGTATTGACCAAGTAAAAAGTGGGTCCCGAGGCCTAACCAGTTGAGAACCACTGGTCTACATGGTATATGTGTGTGTGTGTGTGTGTGTGTGTGTGTGTGTGTGTGTGTGTGTGTGTGTGTGTGTGTGTGTGTGTGTGTGTGTGTGTGTGTGTGTGTGTGTGTGTGTGTGTGTGTGTGTGTGTGTGTGTGTGTGTGCGTGTGTGTGTGCACTCTAACAGCATCTCTGTGTAACCCAATTTAAGTGTTTGACCTTCAGATTGAGGAGATTTTGTCCGACTTTCCACTTTTTTTGCAGGTTTTTCAGTTAGTTTTTTTTATGGTTTAAATTCTTATTAAGATTATTTTAGGATTCACATGCGTGTGTGTAATACTCCTGAGACAATCGGGCAACAACTAAAGAGGACTAGTTGCTCGATAAAAGACAACTGTGATCATTGACTGTGATCAGGGGATATTTACGTGTCTTTTTGCGTGCGTGCGTGTGTGTGTGTGTGTGTGTGTGTGCGTGCGTGCGTGCGTGCGTGTGTGCGTGCGTGCGTGCGTGCGTGTGTTACCAGCTGCTGCTCCACAGGAGGGATGTGTTCAGGGCTTCCGTAGATCAGAGTTGGGTTGTACTGGCTGAATAACACCGGGTAGAAAACCTTTTTACCTAAAAGAGAGGAGATGATTAGAACAAGTACCCGTAGAAAATGAACAGAAAATTAATCACACAACTATTTATATAATCCTAAAGTTATGTTTCCATAGCATAATGTGTCGTTACAGGGTCTCAAATATTAAGTTTAGCTGTTTTATATCTCATAAAGTGAACAAAACAACACAACTATATTTGCTGACATTTGAAAACAAGGATTAATTGCTTAATCCATCAAAAATCAACAGATTAATTGAACAGGAAAATACTTGTTAGTAGCAGCTTTAGATCAAGACAGTGGTGTTGATATACAGTGATTTAACAAATATTAGGTTTCACTTTACCATCTCTAAATACTCTCCAAATTATGATGTAAATATTTAGTTCAGTGCATCTCTTTGTTTATTGCACAGTACGACATTCAAAGTCATTGTAGATATCTGCAAACTACAGTTTTGTATCCAACTAGTGAAATAAATGGAGATTGAATGTGTGTTGTTACTAGGCAGAAATCATTTTTAGATATCTACCTATATAGATTATATCTTAGAGGTATGGACATCCTAAAGAAAAGAGATTTGCTGCAGCAGTTTCATCATGAAAAGCTTTATTTAACGATATATATTAACTGCATATTGACTAGTCAGAACTATAATCCAACACATGCACTGAAATGTAAAGATATCTGAAACGTTAATGATGTGACCAGAGGTGGGAAGTAGTGGAGTACAAATACTTTGTTACTGTACTTAAGTACTTGTTTCTTGTATCAGTACTTTACTCCACTACTTATTTTTCTGACGACTTTTACTTTTTGAACCCAAATACCTGTACTTTCTACTTCTTACATGTTGAACCCAAATACCTGTACTTTCTACTTCTTACATGTTGAACACAAATACCTGTACTTTCTACTTCTTACATGTTGAACACAAATACCTGTACTTTCTACTTCTTACATGTTGAACACAAATACCTGTACTTTCTACTTCTTACATGTTGAACACAAATACCTGTACTTTCTACTTCTTACATGTTGAACACAAATACCTGTACTTTCTACTTCTTACATGTTGAACACAAATACCTGTACTTTCTACTTCTTACATGTTGAACACAAATACCTGTACTTTCTACTTCTTACATGTTGAACACTAATACCTGTACTTTCTACTTCTTACATGTTGAACCCAAATACCTGTACTTTCTACTTCTTACATGTTGAACACAAATACCTGTACTTTCTACTTCTTACATGTTGAACACAAATACCTGTACTTTCTACTTCTGACATGTTGAACACAAATACCTGTACTTTCTACTTCTGACATGTTGAACACAAATACCTGTACTTTCTACCTCTTACATGTTGAACACAAATACCTGTACTTTCTACTTCTTACATGTTGAACACAAATACCTGTACTTTCTACTTCTTACATGTTGAACACAAATACCTGTACTTTCTACTTCTTACATGTTGAACACAAATACCTGTACTTTCTACTTCTGACATGTTGAACACAAATACCTGTACTTTCTACTTCTGACATGTTGAACACAAATACCTGTACTTTCTACTTCTTACATGTTGAACACAAATACCTGTACTTTCTACTTCTTACATGTTGAACACAAATACCTGTACTTTCTACTTCTTACATGTTGAACACAAATACCTGTACTTTCTACTTCTTACATGTTGAACTCAAATACCTGTACTTTCTACTTCTTACACTTTGAACTTAAATACCTGTACTTTCTACTTCTTACATGTTGAACACAAATACCTGTACTTTCTACTTCTTACATGTTGAACACAAATACCTGTACTTTCTACGTGTTACATTTTGAACACAAATACCTGTACTTTCTACTTCTTACATTTTGAACACAAATACCTGTACTTTCTACTTCTTACATTTTGAACACAAATACCTGTACTTTCTACTTCTTACATGTTGAACACAAATACCTGTACTTTCTACTTCTTACATGTTGAACACAAATACCTGTACTTTCTACTTCTTACATGTTGAACACAAATACCTGTACTTTCTACTTCTTACATGTTGAACACAAATACCTGTACTTTCTACTTCTTACATGTTGAACACTAATACCTGTACTTTCTACTTCTTACATGTTGAACCCAAATACCTGTACTTTCTACTTCTTACATGTTGAACACAAATACCTGTACTTTCTACTTCTTACATGTTGAACACAAATACCTGTACTTTCTACTTCTTACATGTTGAACACAAATACCTGTACTTTCTACTTCTTACATGTTGAACACAAATACCTGTACTTTCTACTTCTTACATGTTGAACACAAATACCTGTACTTTCTACTTCTTACATGTTGAACACAAATACCTGTACTTTCTACTTCTTACATGTTGAACACAAATACCTGTACTTTCTACTTCTTACATGTTGAACACTAATACCTGTACTTTCTACTTCTTACATGTTGAACCCAAATACCTGTACTTTCTACTTCTTACATGTTGAACACAAATACCTGTACTTTCTACTTCTTACATGTTGAACACAAATACCTGTACTTTCTACTTCTTACATGTTGAACACAAATACCTGTACTTTCTACTTCTTACATGTTAAACACAAATACCTGTACTTTCTACTTCTGACATGTTGAACACAAATACCTGTACTTTCTACTTCTTACATGTTGAACACAAATACCTGTACTTTCTACTTCTTACATGTTGAACACTAATACCTGTACTTTCTACTTCTTACATGTTGAACCCAAATACCTGTACTTTCTACTTCTTACATGTTGAACACAAATACCTGGACTTTCTACTTCTTACATGTTGAACACAAATACCTGTACTTTCTACTTCTTACATGTTGAACACAAATACCTGTACTTTCTACTTCTGACATGTTGAACACAAATACCTGTACTTTCTACTTCTGACATGTTGAACACAAATACCTGTACTTTCTACCTCTTACATGTTGAACACAAATACCTGTACTTTCTACTTCTTACATGTTGAACACAAATACCTGTACTTTCTACTTCTTACATGTTGAACACAAATACCTGTACTTTCTACTTCTTACATGTTGAACACAAATACCTGTACTTTCTACTTCTGACATGTTGAACACAAATACCTGTACTTTCTACTTCTTACATGTTGAACACAAATACCTGTACTTTCTACTTCTTACATGTTGAACACAAATACCTGTACTTTCTACTTCTTACATGTTGAACACAAATACCTGTACTTTCTACTTCTTACATGTTGAACACAAATACCTGTACTTTCTACTTCTTACATGTTGAACTCAAATACCTGTACTTTCTACTTCTTACACTTTGAACTTAAATACCTGTACTTTCTACTTCTTACATGTTGAACACAAATGCCTGTACTTTCTACTTCTTACATGTTGAACACAAATACCTGTACTTTCTACTTGTTACATTTTGAACACAAATACCTGTACTTTCTACTTCTTACATGTTGAACACAAATACCTGTACTTTCTACTTCTTACATATTGAACACAAATACCTGTACTTTCTACTTGTTACATTTTGAACACAAATACCTGTACTTTCTACTTCTTACATTTTGAACACAAATACCTGTAGTTTCTACTTCTTACATTTTGAACACAAATACCTGTACTTGCTACTTGTTACATTTTGAACACAAATACCTGTATTTTCTACTTCTTACATGTTGAACACAAATACCTGTACTTTCTACTTCTTACATTTTGAACACAAATACCTGTACTTTCTACTTCTTACATGTTGAACACAAATACCTGTACTCTCTACTTGTTACATTTTGAACACAAATACCTGTACTTTCTACTTCTTACATGTTGAACACAAATACCTGTACTTTCTACTTCTTACATTTTGAACACAAATACCTGTACTTTCTACTTCTTACATGTTGAACACAAATACCTGTACTTTCTACTTCTTACACTTTGAACTTAAATACCTGTACTTTCTACTTCTTACATCTTGAACACAAATACCTGTACTTTCTACTTGTTACATTTTGAACACAAATACCTGTACTTTCTACTTCTTACATTTTGAACACAAATACCTGTACTTTCTACTTGTTACATTTTGAACACAAATACCTGTACTTTCTACTTCTTACATGTTGAACACAAATACCTGTACTTTCTACTTCTTACACTTTGAACTTAAATACCTGTACTTTCTACTTCTTACATGTTGAACACAAATACCTGTACTTTCTACTTCTTACATGTTGAACACAAATACCTGTACTTTCTACTTCTTACATGTTGAACACAAATACCTGTACTTTCTACTTCTTACATGTTGAACCCAAATACCTGTACTTTCTACTTCTTACATGTTGAACACAAATACCTGTACTTTCTACTTCTTACATGTTGAACACAAATACCTGTACTTTCTACTTCTTACATGTTGAACACAAATACCTGTACTTTCTACTTCTTACATGTTGAACACAAATACCTGTACTTTCTACTTCTTACATGTTGAACACAAATACCTGTACTTTCTACTTCTTACATGTTGAACACAAATACCTGTACTTTCTACTTCTTACACTTTGAACTTAAATACCTGTACTTTCTACTTCTTACATGTTGAACACAAATACCTGTACTTTCTACTTCTTACATGTTGAATACAAATACCTGTACTTTCTACTTCTTACATGTTGAACACAAATACCTGTACTTTCTACTTCTTACATGTTGAACTCAAATACCTGTACTTTCTACTTCTCACATGTTGAATACAAATACCTGTACTTTCTACTTCTTACATGTTGAATACAAATACCTGTACTTTCTACTTCTTACATGTTGAACACAAATACCTGTACTTTCTACTTCTCACATGTTGAACACAAATACCTGTACTTTCTACTTCTCACATGTTGAACACAAATACCTGTACTTTCTACTTCTTACATGTTGAACACAAATACCTGTACTTTCTACTTCTCACATTTCCCAAACAGGCTGGTTCCTTTAGTTTGAATGTGTGTTTGGTGGCGTGATCATTATTATTTAGAGTCATTGCGTGCCTATTGATTTGAACACGATCCGTGTATCCATCATTTCCTGGTCTTCTCTAAAGAAGAGGGACCAATGAAAACGTTGTCATGTTGCCGTTGTTCAGCATGGAAACATTCATTAGCTAACAATGACATTATTGTTCTATTAATATAAAGGGAGGTCAGGTACTCTTTAAAACAGCTGCTAGTTATGGGTACTTTTTACTGAAGTACATTTCAAAGCCCTCTTTACTTTTACTTGAGTGAAGAAGTTTAGTCAGTACTTCTACTTCTACCAGAGTATTTTTAAACACGAGTATCTGCACTTCTACTTGAGTAAAGGATGTGTGTACTGTTGCCCTCTCTGCCTGTGAGTCTTTTAAATGTCTAAAGTGTTATAGTTAGTCTCACCAGGCTGCGTGTTGAGTCTGCAGGAGTTCAGGAAGTCGGCGGTGAAGTAGATGTCGACGTCGCAGAAGAAGAGCAGAACGTTTCCTCCTTTCCAGGCTCGAGCCCCGACGTCTAGGCCCCGTCCGCGAGAAAACTCCTCGTCCAGCTGCAGGAGGGTGAAGTTCTTAAAGTTCGCCTCCCTGCACAGAGGAAGAGGGGAGGAGAGGAAGAGAGAGGGGTTACAAAAGAGTTGTTGGCCCGGTAAGAACCTCGATTTTGGAGGGCCAGAAAAAAGGTGAAAAAGCCGGAACGAGCCCTAGTGGAAAAGCAAAGAAAACGGGCCGGGTTTGGCACGGCACGCTTAAACCGTGCTGCAGTGGAAATGCGCCAATAAAATGACAATAGAGTGACTCAAAATGATGACAAAGCAAGTCAAAATGACTATAATGTGATTTAAAAAGACTATAAAGCGACTTAAAATGACCACGAAGAGACTCAAACTGACTATAATGTGACTCAGAATTGCTATTAAGAGACTCAAACTGACTAAGAGGACTCACAAAATGACCACAGAAAAACTAAACAACTATGAAAATGGGGAAAACTACCATTAAGAAAACACAAAAAGACTAATAAAGCTACGCTGCATGTAATGAGGACTAAAAAGCGACACATTTCGGCTTCCTTGCTGGGATCATTCGGCCCTAGTAATCCTCTTTTGCATAGCCGTGGGAACATGTTTCAAATGGGGGGTGCTGTGGGGATGACACCAGGGCCGGTTCTGACCAGTTTGTAAAGGATATTGTTAGTTTACTGTCCTATAGTATACATTGGAATGATTTCAAACCTGTTTTTATTTATCCTAATAATTATAAAGGTGTGCCTTGGAAATATTTGTTTACATAAATTGTGATCAAACCGTTTGAGACCCACTGAGATAACTTAGACTAAAGTGAACATTTTTAGTCTTCTCAAGCACCAACTACCAAATATCTCTCCTGATTGTTGGCACTTGACCATCACCTTCACTGAATTGTACTCAGGTGTAACTAAAGTCTGATTTAAGGGTTGTTTATATTTCACATCATTAATCCAAATCTGTAAAGTAACTAAAATAAATGTAGTAAAAATACCAGGTTAACCTTAAAGAAAGCCCTCAGGATTATCAAAGACCCCCATCACCCCAGCCACAAACTGTTCTGTCTGCTGCCGTCTGGCAGGCGGTACCGCAGCATCCGGACTGAAACCTCCAGACTCAGGGACAGCTTCATCCCACAGGCCAGAAGACTATTAAACACCTGGACTTAGAAACAACATCCATAACATTCATCTGGCTGCTACTTAGAAATTATTTATCTAATATATCATATTCCAATCACTTGTATAGACTCTTGTTGCACTATTTCACTATTTTACTATTTGTATTTACTTGCACTATTGTTCCTGTGTATCTGTTTCATTGTGTTGCTCTGTTGGAGGAGCCTGTGACCTAAGATTTTCATTGACATAACTACACTGTAGCTATGTACGCATGAACAAAGTTCAAGCATACATTAAGCACAAAACAATAAATAAGGGCACTTTGTGATTTGATTTCCTCAAACTCCTCCCAGCTCCTCATGTTCTCCCAGATTTTAATCCTAATACAAAGGAGCTTTTTGACTAAAACCAAAACTAATTGCGCGACGGGACAACAAAGCTTCCTGCTGGGGTTTTCTAAGGATGTGGTGAGAGTACAAGAGAAAACAGCTGCATCCAGATGTGCACAGCTGGGCCCTCTTTACCATAACAATTCACACGATGCGAGTGACTAATCCGCTTCTCATAACCACACACACACACACACACACACACACACACACACACACACACACACACCACACACACACACACACACACACACACACACACACACACACACACACACACACACACACACACACACCACACACACACACACACACACACACACACACACACACACACACACACACACACCCACCAAACAACACTTCCCTCAACACATGCGTGCGTGTTTATAACTGTGTTGAAGTCACACTGCAGTCTCTGCCATGAATAAAACATATTAAGAGCCACGGATGGATTGTTGAATGTGAAAGAAATCTCACTCAAAGAGACACTTACAAACCAGGAAGAGACTACAAAGAGATATACATCGACTACAATGAGGCCATACAACTCCAAAGAGAAGCAAAACATCTGCAGAGACACAAAGAGATGTTTTCCAGAGATGGTTTATAGCCCGCGGCTGAAACTCGTCCGTTTCCTCTCCTGCTGGGTATTATTAAAAGCAGTAAATACTAATTTGCAAGTGATGATCTCTTTGCATGCTACTGTGTGATTTTCAAGTCAGCACCTGTCAAACTATTTGTTGAGCCAGTGGTTCATTTGTTTGAGACAAAAAAATGTCTCAAAATGACCTCAAAGACACAAAACTATCATAGAGATGCAGAAAGACTATAACGGGGGGGCAGCAGTCACAACAGAGACACAATATGAAACTAAGACACTGAAAATGACTACAAAAAGACACTAAATGTCTTAAAAGACACTTAAAATAATGACTATAAAATACTGAAAATGGCTACAAAGAGAGTCTACATGACTACAAGACATAAATGACTAAAGTGACTCAATAGGACTGGAAAAATACTTAAATTGACAATAAAGTGACTTAAAATTAATGTGTGTGTGTGTGTGTGTGTGTGTGTGTGTGTGTGTGTGTGTGTGTGTGTGTGTGTGTGTGTGTGTGTGTGTGTGTGTGTGTGTGTGTGTGTGTGGTGTATTGTCCCCGTCTGTCTTCAGTTGATGATACAAACAGAGTGTGTGTGTTACTCTGCAGGAGCACACTGCGTCCCGGGGGAGTCTCTCTGAGCTGTCCACAGACGGCAGAAACAGAGAGAACAATCGCTCTGTTTGTCTCAAAAAGAGTTGATGCAAGAACTAACTGTTGATTCAGTTGAGCTGCAGCAGGGCGGGAACTTTATCTGTCAGAAAGTCACAAGAGGAGAGTCTGTTGCAAGAATATATATCGCCTGTTTGTTGGAAATTACTGGAGGATACAATATGTTATGCTCATTTTCAAGTGTCAGTATATCAGTATGTAGTGTCTCTACTTTAAAGAGTCCTCTCCTGCTGATGTTCAGGTGTATATCAGTATGTAGTGTCTCTACTTTAAAGAGTCCTCTCCTGCTGATGTTCAGGTGTATATCAGTATGTAGTGTCTCTACTTTAAAGAGTCCTCTCCTGCTGATGTTCAGGTGTATATCAGTATGTAGTGTCTCTACTTTAAAGAGTCCTCTCCTGCTGATGTTCAGGTGTATATCAGTATGTAGTGTCTCTACTTTAAAGAGTCCTCTCCTGCTGATGTTCAGGTGTATCTCAGTATGTAGTGTCTCTACTTTAAAGAGTCCTCTCCTGCTGACATTCAGGTGTATATCAGTATGTAGTGTCTCTACTTTAAAGAGTCCTCTCCTGCTGATGTTCAGGTGTATATCAGTATGTAGTGTCTCTACTTTAAAGAGTCCTCTCCTGCTGATGTTCAGGTGTATATCAGTATGTAGTGTCTCTACTTTAAAGAGTCCTCTCCTGCTGATGTTCAGGTGTATATCAGTATGTAGTGTCTCTACTTTAAAGAGTCCTCTCCTGCTGACATTCAGGTGTATATCAGTATGTAGTGTCTCTACTTTAAAGAGTCCTCTCCTGCTGATGTTCAGGTGTATATCAGTATGTAGTGTCTCTACTTTAAAGAGTCCTCTCCTGCTGATGTTCAGGTGTATATCAGTATGTAGTGTCTCTACTTTAAAGAGTCATCTCCTGCTGATGTTCAGGTGTATATCAGTATGTAGTGTCTCTACTTTAAAGAGTCCTCTCCTGCTGATGTTCAGGTGTATATCAGTATGTAGTGTCTCTACTTTAAAGAGTCCTCTCCAGCTGATGTTCAGGTGTATATCAGTATGTAGTGTCTTCTACTTTAAAGAGTCCTCTCCTGCTGATGTTCAGGTGTATATCAGTATGTAGTGTCTCTACTTTAAAGAGTCCTCTCCTGCTGATGTTCAGGTGTATATCAGTATGTAGTGTCTCTACTTTAAAGAGTCCTCTCCTGCTGATGTTCAGGTGTATATCAGTATGTAGTGTCTCTACTTTAAAGAGTCCTCTCCTGCTGATGATCAGGTGTATATCAGTATGTAGTGTCTCTACTTTAAAGAGTCCTCTCCTGCTGATGTTCAGGTGTATATCAGTATGTAGTGTCTCTACTTTAAAGAGTCCTCTCCTGCTGATGTTCAGGTGTATATCAGTATGTAGTGTCTCTACTTTAAAGAGTCCTCTCCTGCTGATGTTCAGGTGTATATCAGTATGTAGTGTCTCTACTTTAAAGAGTCCTCTCCTGCTGATGTTCAGGTGTATATCAGTATGTAGTGTCTCTACTTTAAAGAGTCCTCTCCTCTGATGTGCAGATGTATATCAGTATGTAGTGTCTCACTTTAAAGAGTCCTCTCCTGCTGATGATCAGGTGTATATCAGTATGTAGTGTCTCTACTTTAAAGAGTCCTCTCCTGCTGATGTTCAGGTGTATATCAGTATGTAGTGTCTCTACTTTAAAGAGTCCTCTCTCCTGACTGTGACCCTGTCAGTAATTTTATTATCTCGCTCAAAACTAAATGTAAAAGTTGGCAGCCCTGGTTAAAATGATTCCAGAGAGACCAGGTGGATCTATTATTTATCAAATGTGTGTGTGTGCGTGTGCGTGTGTGTGTGTGTGTGCGTGTGCGTGTGCGTGTGCGCGTGTCCACATTTCCTCTAAAGCCTGAGAAAATGAACATTACTGTGTGCCAAGTCAAGAATTCCAATTTTAAATCCGTCTTGTTTTCCGATTATATTTTTACATTCCGCTCTTTTCTCCTCGCCCCCCCCCCGAGCCTCATTATGGTGTAAAACAGTGTATTTGTTTACCGTGTGTGTGTGATGGTGGTACCTAAATGAAGCTGTATTGTAGAAAGTGTGTCGCAGTGTGTTGCTTCTCAGCAGAAACCTGATCCTCTTAGTTCTGCTCACACACTCTCAAAGCCACGGTGCTTACTGAATGAGGAAGTCTGTAAGCCGCTCTATGATTCTATATGTGGACATTTGCAGGTTTTTAAACACGTTTCTGAGACACAGATGATGCTTTCTTATCTAT